GCCCCGTGCCTGGCCCGTCACCCCCGCGTGCCCTCCGCGGCCGCCCACAGCCTGGCCCTGCCCTGCCCGCTGTCCTCCAGGCCTGGCCCCGGCCTCTCCTCGCCCTCCTCGGAGAGTGGCGCCTCCCCTCCCGGCCTCCCACCTGGCTTTTTCCACGACGTCCACACACACACACCCCACACACCTTGCCCCCACCGCACCCCGCACCACACACCCCACCACGCACCCCATCACACACGTCCACACCCCGCGCCAGACACGTCCACACCCCGCGCCAGACACGTCCACACCCCGCGCCAGACACGTCCACACCGCACACAGGCTCGGGGGCCCGAGCCGAGGGGTCGAGGCTGGGCGCGCAGAGTCCTGCGCCTGGAGAGCTCCAGGGACCCAGGGCGGCGCGTGGGGTGCGGGTCCACGGCCTGGGCAACCCCGGCCTGGGCAGGTGCGGGTGCAGGTGGCTGGAACTGCCGGGCTGCACCCCCAGCCTGGCCCCCCCGCCGCGGACTCCCGCCCGGGGCAGGGTTCTTCCCTCCCCTCTGGTGCCCCGACGTGCCCAGCGATGAGGCCATCGTGCCGCGGGCAGGATGCGCCAGGGCCCCACGTCCCCCGCCCCATCCCCGGGCAGCCGCTGCGTGCCAGCTGGACAGGCCCCGCTGACCCCAGGCGGGTCGTCCTCAGTTCCTTCTTGCCCTGAGGGAGGGGGCTGCGGCCAGGGGTGGCAGGCGCGGGGCTCGCTGGGCCCCGTCTTGGTGCCTGGACGCGGAGGCAGGTGCCCCGGGTGACCCTGGCAAAGGCCCACGTCGCCGGCCCCCTCCCCTCCCCCACCCAGGGCTCCGCAGGGTCTCCCCAGGACCCCAGGCGGGCTCAGGGCGCCCGCAGCCAATCTGGCCTCAGGGCGCCGTGGCCGTGCGAGTCAGGTGCCAGCCAGGCCCGGGGACCACGAGCGGTGGGAGGACGGGGACAGAATGTCCCCGCGGCTGGCCAGGGTGTGGGGGAGGGAGGCCAGCGGACCACAGTTGAGCCACCGTGTCACCTCCCTGGGCAGGCCGCTCCCCGGGCCGCTCCCCGGGCCGGTGGGGTCAGCCTAATCCGCGGGCGGCGCGTGCAGGGAGGGGCCCCACGTGGCCCGCGTCAATGGGGCGGGTCCTTCCTGGGTTCCGCCTCTCCCCTCCGGCCTTCTCACCCGCACCCCTGCCTGGGAGGACTCGACTCCTGAGGCCCGGCTCCCTGCCTGGTCGCAGAACGCGCCCCAGGCCCCAGCTGGCTGCGCCAGTGGCTCCGCATCCTCCCGTGCCCCTGCCCCCGCCCCGCCCCGCCCCTCCTGCCTGGGGTCTCCCCCCGAACCCCCACTGCGGGGCAGATGTGGCCCAGGATGCAGTGCCCAGGGATGTTCTCAAAGCCCCTCCGGGGTCCCGCGCACTCATTGGTGGTCCAGCCAGCCTCGCACACGGGTGACACGCCTGTGGCCCTGCTGCCACGCAGGCTGGTCGGTTTGGTGACCATCCCTGGGCAGGCGGGCCAGGTGTGCTCCCCGCGGCGTCTGCCTCCCCCCAGCTCCCCCACCTCCTTGCGGGCAGGGCCTCAGGCAGGCGCTGAGTCACAGGAGACTCCGCCAGGCGCTGCTGTGCCCTTTCAGTGAGGGAAGGTGAGTCACGCGGCGGCCCAGCCGCGTCATACGGGGGCGGGGGAGGAGGAAGCGCACTCCTTGTCTTGGCGCCAGACTCTGCTTAGGTCAGGGCTTGCACAGGTGCACACGCACACACCCCACAGCACACACGTATGTACATGTCCAGGCACACACGCACACACGTGCCCCCCCCCACACACTGGAGCACACATGCATACATACACGAAGATACACAAACATACACAAACCACAAGGGATCACACACACAGATCCACGTGCAAAGACAGACTCACGTGCACTTACATGCAAACACAGGCTCAAAAACCCAGATACACATGCACCTGGAGATTTACACACCCGCTGACACGCGCATACCTACATGCACACGCAGACATGAACACACACGTGCATACACACGCACAGGGTTAGGCTTCTGCTGGCCCTTTCTAGTGGGGACACTGAGGTGGCTGCTTAGTGGCCTGGACTGGGTTAGGGGCAGAGCTGGGACTCCGGAACCCTCAGGGCCAGGTCCTGTGCTCCCCAGGCCTTGGGTGGGCACCGCAGCAGCCCTGACCACTCCTGAGCTGGCCCCGGCAGAGCCGGCTGGGAGGCAGGTGGCACCTGCTGGGCTCCGCTGCACACTCTCTTCCTCTGCGGCCCCCGCCCCGCCCCGCTCAGCTTCCCCATGCAGACCGGGCTGTCAGGACGATCCTGGGGCATGGGGGCAAACCAGGAGAGGGGGCCCGGGGGTGTGCGTGCTTGACCGGGGCTCTGCTGCCCGTCTGCACCTGCCCTGCTATTCCCCTGTAAGGCCTCGGCCCCTCTGCCTGGCCCACGGCCTCTGCTCCTGCTGTCCCCTCTGCCGCTGCCCCCACCCCAGACTGCAGGGTTGCCTGCGCTGTCTCCAGACACACTCAGAAGCAGCAAGGCTGGTGGTGGCTTCCTGAGAGCCCCACCAATGTCCCCAGCATATCTAAAATCATCATGCCAATTTATGTCCAGCAGGGGCAGGCCCCTCTGGGGTGCTACGAGGGGAGCTGGCCAGTGGACTGTGCGTGTGGTCTGAGGCTGGACCTGGGCATTTCCCGGCCCCTGGCCCTTTCTGCGCTGACCCGCATGGGATGGGTCCCCACGCGTTCAGGACTGCTTAGCCTCAGGCAGCACCCAGTGGCCTGGGATCCCCGACCCCCAAATCCCTGCCTTCTAGCCCGGTGGGTGGAGCCTGGTCCCTGGGTCCCAGAACCCAGGGCACCTGCAAACAGAGCAGGCCCAGCCGCCTGACAGGAGCATCTTCCATGTGCCATCCATTGTGACCCCACAGCCACCCAGGGCCTGGCAGGACTCTTGGGGGCGTCAAAGCTGCCCCTGGCTCGGGGCCTGGGCACCAGCACCTCCACTTTGCAGAGAGCACAGCAGTCCTAGTGGGGCCCAGAGCACACCGCGCAGGGGCCGCTTCCAGGATACTGGGGGCACCTGCCCACCTCAGAGTCAGAGGAAGCCGGCAGAGCCTGCCCCAGCATAGTGACCGTAGGGCCTCAGGCCAGGGGAGCGGCATGGGCCCCCACTGCGTGTTGGGCCTGGAGGGCTCAGGCTCCCCATCTGGTCCCTGCCTGTGCAGAGCGTGGCAGCTCAGGCCAGGGCGGGGCAGACGGCCTTCTTGCAGGAGGGCAAGTGGCAGGGACCAGAGGCCAGGTAGGAAGCAGCGCACCTCCCTGAGCCTTGTGTGGGGAAGTTGGGGTTCCCAGTCACGTCCACCCCAGGGCACCCTCCTCCTCGGGTCAGCTTGCAGACTTGACCTGTTTCCCCACCTGACTCACTCAGTGCCGGGTACAGGTGACCCACTCCCAAGGAGGGGCCTCTTGTTCATCCAGGTGTGAACCCCCACCCCCCCATCCTGGCATGGCCCCCCTGGGAGAGGCTTCCCTGCAGGGCCTGGCCAGGAGGAAGGCAGTGAGGGGGCCAGAGGGGCAGACACTGCCCCCACCCTGCCAGGCATGACTGCCGGGAACCCCGGGGGACTGGGGGCCAGTTGTGTAATCGAAACTCAGGGCTCCACCAAGGCCTCCTGGAAGGCTGGCCAGCCTGGAAGTCACGTGCTGCAGGCTTGGAGGGCCTCCCCCGCCCCCGCCAGGAATGCGGTGTGGGCCCTGCACCCCCCAGCTCAGGCCGGGCAGGGATAGACAGGAACCCAGCAAGCCTGGCTGACACCCCTCCCTGCCCCGGCCGGGGAGCTCGAAGCTGCCCAC